TTATTAAATGTTAGTAATGTAATCACTGCATGACTCTAGGCCAGCAGTATAAATAAGAGGATTGCTCGCTCCATCTGAAATTGCCATTATTGTCTGTGGCTGACTGCTGATTGTCAGGTTAGCCGCTGAATTCATTATCATGATTCCTCAAGGCTGAGCAGAATTGATTCTTATCTGTTTCTGAAACTGTTTTGTCGACCAGAGCCTCATCTCCATATCATTATTAGAATATATTTCATTTTGTCAGGCTTCACCGTGCTGTGATGTGGCGTCCCTGCAGCCGCCGCCATTACACACTGCACAACAATATGTAGGCACACCGCGATATGTATCATTAAGATACAGTCGGAGCATCAAGTGTGTGTCAGCTTGGAAGAGAGAGAGAGTGTGACATTTCTCATTTCTCATCAAGTCTTTGCCCCAGCAGGCTTAGCATATAAACAACGTTGGTTTCTTTGCCATAATTGAGCATTATAGATAAGAAGCATATCTGGTGCTGCAGCTGGGCCTGTGAGGCTGCCACCCAATCAGCACCTACGCACCGGGAGAAGGCCGGGAGTGACATGCATGGCTGATGACGAGCATCAGTAGGACCATGAGCTGAGGGACAACAGCCAAGCTCAAACAATGACACATCCAGTGCCGGTCAGAGGAGTAAACTGAATAGTAGCACATTCACTTGCTAAGAGCAATCTGTTTTTTAAGAAGCTTATTTTTAGAGCATTTCTGCTTCGAGTGACAGAATAGAAGGAGAGAGGCGATGAAAAATAAAGTGAGGTAGTTTTATGTTAGTGTATTCCAATTTAAATGTGATAGTAAGACCATCAGAATGAAAATGATTAAGTTGGTGTTATTTTATATTTATTGGATGTTCTTGTACTAGCCTATTTTGTTCTTTACATCTCCATCTTAGTTTACCTTCACTAAACTGCTCCCCTCAACAGCGATTATCCACTCATACCTTTGCACCTTTACCTAGGCACAGCAGGTCTGTCAAGCTTTGGATCAAGTCCAAGTAGGCTAAAAAAGTCCTAAGACGGCCTTTTTAACCAACTCATGGAGCAATTTGCTAGCTAGCTAAGCAGATAAAATCTATATCAACAGTTGTTACCAGCCAGAAATGAGAAGCCTGCTCTTGTCTACCTCTGCCTGAAATCAAGGACCCATTGTTTAAAAAATTACAAAGTATTTCAAGCGATACATCTGTCACTATTCTACTTATTGTAAACCGCATTATGTGTCAGGCATAAATAGAAATCTTGGAAGATGTAGCAGCACTAATGGAGAGGGACAGGGCTTAGCAAACTGTGAATTAATTCTTTAATCATGTTTTCTCTGCACTAATTGAACATCAACAGCTTAGTTCAAAAAGTTCATATGAACATTAACCTTAAAAAACCTTTTCAGTCAAACTAAACTTAAAATTTGTGCATTTCTCTCTTTCTCAATAATGGCAGCTAATCTTATCTGTGCATAGTGTTAATTTAGTCAGACTCACAGGGCTTCAGCAGGTAAGTACTGGTCAGGAGGTATTTGCTGGTTCTAATGCAGTACTTAAGGTCAAAACAGTGCTTCATAAGCTTGTGAACAAGCTTAAACTCACCGCATCCGATTAGCCAAAGACGGTGGCATCCACAGCAGAGGCAGTGCGGCTGATAACCCTCATGTTGCCCTTTCTGCGCAAAATGGGCTGCTGATAAAGCTTGACCGTTGTTTTCTTGTTGGGAGTCTGGTGACCATCCATCAGACGGCCATAAAAGAGGAATTTTGCGACTTGTTTATGTCCTTCAAATCTAATTGGACCTTGCTGCAGCTCCCATGGAATGCCATTGGTAGGCAATAAACAACAGAGGGAATGGGCAATTACTTCATATCACTGCCGGACATGGTAATAGTTATTGGCACACTGAGTTCTCCTCTCGCCATAGTTATTCCCAATGGTCATAGAATACAATTTGTGGTCTGTGCACGATTTAGAAAAAGGGGCAGTGACCTGGGATATGAGGATATGATTAAGTATGCCATTAAAGAGCTCAAGACAAATCATGGAGGGATTGTGACAGCCAGCGAACGTTTCCAGCCTGTGTGCACTCCTGGGTACACATTGCCACTGTCAAAGAAAAATTATGTAACTGCAATTGATTCCTTTTTCTGTTTCACACTTGAATTGCGTAGAAAGAGACATGTGCCTGTAGAGCTTGTTTTGGGAATTGTAAATATGAATTTTTCATGCTCACAACTGGAATTTGTTGAATTGATGAATTAAGCAATTTGCGACGTGAAGCTCAATTTGGAATTCAGGATTTTAGACTCACACCTAAGTTCAAGACGCTTTTTATTATATTCCTATGTTAACTGGGAGCCAGGCCACTGTGCCAGCTTTGCACTTAGTTCATTGCTCGTTCTTCTCTTCAACCCATAATGGACTGTTACTCTCTCCACTTGTGAAAGACCTACAAACTGTGTCCCAGCTACTTGGACTCAACTGTGCCGAAAGAGGAGTCAGTTTTGAGAATACTTTATGAAGCTGATATGATGTTCACTTACTGTTCATAAAACAAATGACACAAAATGCAGTTATTTTGACTGTGTATATCTGGCTTTAGAGAAGGTGGATGCCATTCAACCAACACTCAGAAAAGTCAATTACCAATTACTCTTTGCCAAATAAAAAATCTCTGCAATTCATGTTTTAAAATCCACCCACTCAAAATTGACGAGACACATTGTCCTTCAGACCTTAAAGGATTTTGCAGACACAGTGTGTTTCTGTCCCACAGCAGGGAAACTGTACGGGGCTGACCGGCTCAGTTGCATTGTCTCTATAAAAAGCTAAGTGACTGAAAGGATGTATTGTACTTTTTGAGAGGCGGTGCCTGCTGGCTGGATGCCAGATGCCAAGCATAACTCAAAGTGACAGAGTGACCCTCAAATAGTTGCAGAAGGTCGGGCAAAAGAGTAAAGATTGTGCCGAAACAGCCCACATTCGCACTGTTTTGTGGCCATAAACCTGTGAAACATCCTTAACAAGTAAACAAAATGTGATTGAGTAAACAATGAAATGGACTGTCAAACCATTTTTTCTGGATCCTTACAATCAGTTAGAAATAGAGATAATTCAACAATCAATTTCTTTTCTGTATGTTCTTGAATTTGGAGTTTTAAGAGCTTTCAGCATTGTAGTGTAGAATTGTAGTTAAAGGGGTATTAAGATATCTGTGACCTCTACTGGTGGCCAGCATGAAATTCAACAACACAACCTGCCTCCTCCTACACAATCCACATCCCTCACAGCCCCCTTCAGCCTGAGCTTTAGTAGCCTGTAATTTATACTGATGATAAAGTCACAATGCCCCAGGAGTGAACAGTAAGCTAGTAAATAGAAACTGACTTTACTGATAGATTAGAAATCAATCAGTAGGCTACCACCTTGCCAAGGAGTAACATTCCACCATACTGATTTCTCATTATTTGGCTTGAGAACAAGACGTTTTAGCTTTTGTAGATGAAATGTTGCGTGAATAGTGTGGAGTTTATTTTGAGTTTGCTGAAATGCTTGTGGGTGAGAAGTTTTATTTGGACTAAATTATATTTTTCAAAAGGCTGAAATTAAGCAAACTTTGCAATCACTGAGTTGCTTTAGATCAACAAGTTGATCAACCCCCTGCAGATGCATTACGATCTGACGCTGGTTTTGCGCACAAATGTTTGTTGGGTTTTGGTCGGTAAAAAAAAAGACATTAGGAGACATGGCCTTGGGCACTGGGAAACCCTGACAGGCCTTTTTCACAATTTTGACATTTAGGAGACAAAACGATTAATCGGTTAAATGAGAAACTAATTCTGTTGCAGCCCTAATTGTCATTCATTTAACAACCACCTGAAGCCCACCGACTCACCACTGATTTTGTTTGGTTAATATAATGGTCAGTGTATATTAAACACTAATTCAATGAATATAATTGAATGCATGGGAGTATGAAGTGTTAGGGGTAAAATAAATAGGGGTAGAGGGTAGAAAAAAAGTGGTTTGCTTCATTACGTTTTATCCCTGATGTAACTAATGTCTCTATATACATAATAATCAGATACTGGATATAAACTTGGAATATTCCATGTACTGTATCCAGTTAAGTCTTTTCAACTATCTGTATGCACCATGTACCAGATCTTTAACATTTTGCGATTGTGTGGCTTTGGAGGCAGAGGACCGTGAGTAACACAGAACCAGATTTTAAAGATTGCGGCTCTGCTGAAAAAGACCAAATCTGCTCCACAGACTAATGGCCATGTGAATACATGCAAGTCTGTCATTCCGTTATAGAGCCATTACATGAGACTCTCCTTCAAAAGTCAGACAGCTTGTTAAATCCGACATGTTTCACCAGCAGTGCCTCCAGTGAAATGAGCTGCTGCTGAGAGACAGACTTCCTCTAAGTGAGATTCTATACAGATCTGCAGACATCAACACCTAAAGCATAAGTTTATGTGAAGTTTACAACAAGTCAATTACGGGTGAGGGGTGTCACAGCCTGATAGGTCGTTAAAGTAACAGCCCAGTAAAGTCTATCAACTCAAATGGTATAAGCACGTACACCAAGTATTGCACTGTAATACATCACCCTGCTTCATTAGCTTCTTAACAAGAAGGGTTAGTGTTTTAAAGGCAGCAGAGCTTTACTCACCAACACGTTTAACATAGTTCCATGTGTAAAATAAAGCAGAATTTTCACCGCTTTACCAAAGAAACGATGCTGAGAAATATGTAGACTATGAGTCATGCTTCAGATCATGCTGCCTGAATACCTTTTAGATTTTGGAAGACAGTTTGGTCAATTTTGAGTGATAACAAAGTACGCTCCTCTACATTGCACACGGGCTGTCGTTTTTTTGGAGGTATGGCCACAATACATAAAGTGTTTATTTGCCTCATTATATTGATTACCTCTTAACCAGTAAATCACAGATCCTGCCCATGTAATAATCAAGCCGTGTCCTACCGTTTAATTGATTGTAGACCACATCCTCCAGCCTCTCCAGCCTCTGGAGAATAGACTGTCTGTCCACCAAGTTGGAAACTTTGCCATTCCTGGCTCGCAGCCTCTGGTCAGACATACGCCCTAGCTGGATGAGCTCCTCGGATCGGTCCTGGATCCTGCAGTAGACCGAGAACAGGATAATTCCCACAAACACTAAAATGTTGACGGTCAGCAAAGTTTTGATTTTGCGTGCCACAGCCATGAAATAGAATATTGTCCGGCCGACTCAGTCAAGCCCAGCAGCTGTCCATGTGTGGTGGCCTGCTTTGCCACCTTAATGTGCGTTGCAGGAGGATGGTTTTTCCGCTCAGGGGGAGAGAAGGTCAACTCGTGAAGACCCGGGGAGCTGACGGATCCGTTCAGCACCGCGGACAGCTCTGGAGGCTGCGCTCGCTTCTTCTCTTAGTGGGGCATCACATCCGTCACATGGAGACTGGAGGTAGGAAAGGTTGCTGGCGGCCACGGTGCTCGGCTTCCGCCGGTGAGCGAAGCTTTTACTCAACTAGCCGAGGTACAGCTGCACACGCTCTGCCGTCGTTTGAGCTACATAGCCTATTGCAAGCGAGAAATGACGCCAGGGAAGGCATTCATCCCCTTGAACAGCCTGAGGCAGTTGCAAAACATCTCTCCTCTGCACCGTGATAAGTCGCCAGTTCCTTAGCCCCAATATGTCTCGTCCATCTTCCAGGAGATGCACTGTAATAACCGCTTGTATCGAAGCGTCCTTCTGCTACCACTGCTTTGCTGTGACATCTGCTTTTTCAAAAGCGTTGTGGTCACTCGATCCGTCCCGCTCTGCAAATATGAACCAGAGGAGCTTATGTCCAGAAAATATGTGCATGCTTCAAAAACACGGCGGCGTTTCTCTCTCTCTTTCTCTCTCTCCCTCCTTGTCTCTCTTTTTCTCTGTGTGTTTGTCTTTCGTCAGTTCATTGTTGTTTCCCTTGTGCGGTGCAGAGTAAGATGAGTTGAGAGCTGATTTGCCCTCAAATGCGGTGGGAGAGACGCAGCCGGACTCTGGCATGCTGTCTCTTCTCCCAGCCTCCCCGCTCTCAGCCAGGGAGAAAAAGCCGCCGCTGCGTCCTGACGTTCAGAGGCACAATCATGAATATTCAGGAGCTGTGTTGGGCTCGCAGGATAAAATAAACAGCACCACTATGAAAGCAGCAAATAATTCCACTTGGCAGAGCAGCCTTCTCCCCGTATCAGTTAGTGAACTGTGAAAACGTGTGCAAAGATGTGTTAACAGATTTTTTTTTTTGCCATTTGATCCGTAATGCGATGGTTAATAGAGTCCATCTCTCTTCTGATGCCGCGGTCAGGGGCTTAAAGCTCTAGTGCCTCACATCCATGTTGCATATAGGTTTTAATTTGCATGTTATGAAACTCCCCCTGCATACTGTACATGCATGGTCAACTTCAGGATGATAATTATCATTTCATGAATCACATGCTTGGAGGAAGATTCAACTCCATCATACTAGAACTAACAAATATGTCCTGCACCGAATAAATAACCTATTTTTAATCAAACCAATTTGGGGGAAAGAGACAAAATTCATTTAAATTTATATTTGGACCATTTTTAAACAGAAGTTTAACTTTTATCAACATAAAATCCACCTGACATTGCAGCCTATGTTGTTGTGAAGTGCTCCACAGAAACCCCACAGTTAAGAACAAATATCTTAAGGGACATGGTAAGGACCACAGCATTCAGTAGTCTACAGTAGTGATTCAATCCGTTACCAGCCAGTTCAAATCATTTCCTCCTCTCAATTCAATACTGTAACCTCCCTCCTGCTATTGAACCCCTCATCTCAGATTCCAAATGAATGATAGCTCAAGTAAAAGGATTCGGTCTAACTGTGGACTTGATTAGGCAAACCCATGACCAAGGCTTCCCAAAGCACTTTGATCCCACTTCACACCGACCAGAAGACCTTAGATTTATACTTACTTTGTTTGCTGCTTCACTGTAATCAGATATAGCGGCTGTAACTGTAAAACCCTTTATAGACAGCACAGCTCTTTGTCAGAGGACATCTGGTACAAACGTGATCTTTTAAGCATTCTCTTACCTCCTGAAATGACGATGATACGTCTTCAAGATGAAATCGATTCTGGTTAACTGAAAGCAGTTTCAAGAGCTTTTCTTTTTAATACTCTCGGAAATCCGTTTCAGAGCTGGAGGAGAAGTGGTGCACTGTTGTGTTGAGGGTGCTCATGGAAGAGCATAACATCATATCTATCAAGACACAAACTATACATGCTGAAGAGCACTAAAACTTTGTTTTTTCACAAAGTCTCTACATTTAAGGGTGTAAGAGAGACAGGGATTATGTTGAATCATACAAAACAGCACAATGATCGTATCATTCTCTGTGTTGTGGATGTACACGGCATTTCCTATCATCAACCCCTTGTGTTTTAATGATTGTAGCCCATGCACTTCATCTCCAGGCCTACAGCTCTTGTGTTTCTCATCTCTGTATGACATTTACATTTAAAATGATTGGCTTTGTATGCACTGTTTCATTAGGATTCCTGCTGCATGTGAGTCCCATTACAAAAGGTGCTGATTTAATTCAAGGCCTGCAGAAACAGGCAGACTGTGGGGAAATCACTCTTACAGCCACCTCAGCCGCCATGCAGGCCTCAGCACAGCTGCTTATACAGCAGCTACAGTATCACTGCCCCCTACGCTCCTCTATAAGACTCTCTGAAGACTTCTGTTCTGTTTTCTGCATTCAGCACCCTGCATGCCTCTGTGACTGCAGACACTGGCACTCGAGTGTTTTAACCATATTAACCTGGGTCACTGCCAGCTGCACCTTAGTCATCCTACTCAGTGTTTCAACATAAGCCACTTAAACATATTCAGTGGGAGGACACAGGCTTGATAGCACTGTGTGCATCTAGAACTGCTGCAAGGCAGACAGAAATATCTATAGCCATGTATTCACAGAAAGCATAAACTAGGAGCTTCCATAGAAATTCCAATGCCAATCACAAATATCAGTGTTGATAATGTTATCAAATTCCCTTAAAGTAGTTTTGTTCATCATAATAATATTATGAGAGTCCAAATGAAATAAAGCCATTCTTTTTTTGTGGTTAAATAATGTCAAAGTAACACTAAAACTAATATTTATTTATCTTTGAAAGGAAGGAACAAAGGCATTTGGAGATAAATCCAAAACACTCACAACTTAATCAAACTTGTACTGTAAACTGTAGCTTACAGTACAAGCAGAGTACAGGTACCTTCTTGTAGTATTGGAATATGGAACCATTAAGCATGTAAAACAAACCCATTTTGACATTTGCCGTTAAGGTTTTAAGATGCCCAATGTGCTAGACTAGCTTTCTTGCTATCTAGCCTACAAAATTAAATTAGCAGTGAACGTGTCCTACAGTGGATGTTTGCTAGCTTGTACAGCATGTGGGACAATGTGTGGGTCAAGACATGGGCCCATGCCGGAAGACAAGAAGGAGACACTATAGCTGGAAAGCAAATGTGGGTTGCAGTTCAAAGTTTCCCCTTCTTTTTATGTCTTCATGTCTCATGTTGTACCAGAGAAGAGAAACCAAATGAGAGAAAAAGATTTATTTCTCCCTTTAGCTTTTTTTGTCATTTCCAAAAGTGGCAAACTTGTTAGTAAACGGTTGCTTATTTACACAGTCAGCAGATATGGAGTAACATTAGCGTACATTTGGAGTCATGTTTCAGGAGACCTGATAAATGTAGGTCTAACTCCAATTTGAAAATTGAGAAAAATATCTGGCTAGAGTTGAGTAACTGCACAGCCAGCTAATAATTCTCTGTAGGTTCTTCACTACTAGGCGACGCCTTTCATTTTACATATAGCAATTTGATCTATTTAAAATAAACATATTGATATGTATATATAGTGCAGCTTAAAAAAGTGAATTAACATATACTATACACGGACCATTCTGTAAATACAGGTAGGTGAGAGCCTAGAGAAGTCTTGGCACCAGAGAGGATATTAACTACTGTAAAACCCAAGATAGTAAGTGCTTTGTTGGGGACCATTTAGTTTGCTACGCTCCAGTGATTTTAGTACACTAGACTCGTCAGCTGAAGCTGCTCTTCACTGTTCACAAGAGGCCGGCATGTCCAGGCAGAGGGAATGTGTTCAGACAAGATGCTATTAAGCAAGGACAGCCAGAAGTCAACAGATCATGTACAACCACTGCATTTCAGCAGAGTGAGAGATCAAAATCACTTTTCATCAGCTTTTTGTCTTTGGTAGTGATGTTTTTATTTAACTTGTCATCCAGGTTTCAACTAACCACATGACAAATTGCCATTGTACATGTACTGTTGTGTGTTGACAGAATGTAATGAAAGACATGGTGGTTTCTTTAAAAGTAAAGTAGTTTGTATTCAGTGTAACGATTAGAATAGATAATTACCAAGCACTGCATATAAATGAAAATATGCAATATTAAAAAGCTAAATTATTAAAGCGTGTCTTTTGGTCTTTCATAAAAGTATGCAAGGTTGTTTTTTTCCTTAGAGACCAAATTGTCTCCTCCATTCCTAATATTCACAACGCTTTGGCATAAACCCAAACGATCTTATTCACCATAAACTACATCAAGGTTAGTGTGACCATTGTGAAAAGAAAAACAAGCGACTGGCAAATCTGATGCAGCAGGAACAGCCGTACTAATGTGGCTGAGTAAATAATCCATGTTTGTCCCCGATCAGCTGACGCGCAGACTTGCTGTGTCGCTTTCAGAATAAAGCACCCACTCTAAGACACTCATTGGTCACTAATGTGGGAGCTGTCTGCCCGCCTGCCAGAGCTAAGTTCATATATTATCACTTTAACCCCTAGGCTAACAGCTAAGCCCCAGTTCTGTCTGCCTTAACTTAGCTCATTCACATTCCACCTCCAGCCACTTCTCCCCACTGTGCTGCTGCGGGAGCTGTTGATTTGCCTAATGCCTTAACAAAATTAGAATAATAACCCTGTGGACTGGAATAGGTGCTGTTCAGCGTGGGGAAATTTTTTACACGTTTTTTGGTTTTGTACTACATAGATTAGGCAACACTGGGGCCCAGCAGCTGAATGTGTGTCAGTGCCGGGGCCTCATTAAGACACAATATGCTCCTTGACCTTGACAGACAACTGTGGCTGGCTGTACCCGTAATGCATCACTCAGTGGCATCCCAATCACAAATGCAAAGTCCTTTTTCTGAAGTGGGGACAAGATAAATCTTGATGTTAATGAGAGAAAGAAAGAGGCAGGCACTGCTTCTGTACACATGCTGTCAAACAAAACAGTGACAGGAATTATCAGTGTAAGAACTACCAAAACGTTAAGACTGAGATACTGAGCACATCAAATATCAAAATGTCAAAGTGAATGATTGGATTTATCAATATGAACATAAGCTTGGGTTCTCAATGTGTTTGTTTTAATGGAGAAGAAGCTCTCGAGACACCCCCAAATGTTTCTTGATTTATGGCAGAAGCAATTACATCTTGCCAGTGTACCGATGCTTGATGGGCGAATCGGTGCAGGTAATTAGAAAGAATAATGAAACAGGGAGCCAAGGGAATGAATCCCTGCATCGAAAAATCTAATCAAAGATAAATGGACTATCCATATTACCTAGTCATTATGCCGGAAAGATTATTGTTTTAAATCCCTGTGTGCACCAGCTACGGACTCTTTCTCAAACAAAAGCCATTACTCTACTGACACCTCCAACTTGTTTGTAGACTGATTGATGTCCCATGGCTTGTAAGCATTCCTTCAGTTTATGTTTTCAATTTCTGGGTGAGATAATGGGTGGGGGTATATCACAAGAAAACAGCTAATGATGGATTTATAAAAGAATAGATAAACATTATTAAAATGCACACAATGCATACATTTGAGCTCACACAGAGGCACACATACGTACACATCAATAATACATTCAAGTGTGCAACTCAAGTGCACTGACGGAACTGTTGTAGGATTTCTATAACGTCAAAGCTAAACTCTTTAAAGCGGAATC